GGGCTCATTTTTTTCTCATTCTAAAACAGCTAGAAAATGTTTAATCAATAGCCCAAAAGCTTTCACAAAAATGATCTTATTCATCTTAGACCAGTTCTATCAGTTATATAGTATTTCATATTACTTTAGAACAGAATTGAATAAAAATTGGAATAGAAACCTATTTTAATGGCCTTTTCTGCTTCCTTCTAAAATGCGAAATGACAAAGTATTGTTGCAACATAAATAATTTTTCAAAAGCTTTTATTGAAATAGTTTTATTTTAAAAAGAAAGCTATACCGTGTAGCCCAGTGGTGAAGGACATAGAGTACTTGATTTGGGTTGCTGTGTCCTATTTGTCAATGACATGACAGTAGTTCTTACCAGTAAAATTAGGAAAATAATTATAAATATTTTAAAGGATTGTTGTGAAAGTTGATTGAGATTACTATGTGTACATATAATGACATGTATTTATTCTTAACAGGAAAGCTATTACATAGTAAGCTTTCAATAGATTTGACTATTTTTACTTATAATAATATTTACAAAAATCCATAAATATGCAAGCTAATACTTTTAGAAGTAACAGCTTTGAAAACACAATATAAGAGCTGCCATGTAGTTCATAATACAATTTTATGGGAGGTCTTGTAGTAGCTCTTATGCCTCTTCCCAAGATTCTTCCAGTTGGCTCAATGTGAGTCAAAACTTCAGATTAGAGTGGTACCTTTGCCATCACGTCAGAGAGAAGAACTGCCTTTGCTGCTACATAAACGTTTAGAAGCCCACAATCTATTCATCTGGCAAGTAGGCTGAAAGCAGCGCTCAGCTGCTCATGACGTAAGTGGGATGACACATGTTAATGGGTGTCGCCAATCTCTTAACTTCCCAGATTATGGTCCTGGTAAGCTGTAGGCTCTGCACAGCAAGCCAAAACCACATGAAGGCAGAATGGACAGTGCATGTGAATATAAACATCAGTTCTTTTGCAGAAAAAAAAATGCATCTGCTTCATAAAACATAATTGCTTTTCGGTTTTTAGAAACTGCATATAATATTTTGCATTGGGAAAACTTTCAATAATTATCTAATCAAGAATAGCTCATCAGCTGAGCCCTTGACCACATGCTCCTACCCACATTTTGTATGTGACTCTTCTGATCGGCTCAAGGGCCAATTTTAACTGAGAGTGAAGCTCATCCTATGACTGGACATGGCATGGAGGTTCTACAGCAGCCACTTTGGCTGGAGGGACCATGATGCTTACTTTCTGGATCCAGGGCTCTGCATTATAAATAATGAATGCAACTCAAACTTATTTAAGTAAAAAAGAGAATTTCCTGGAAATGTTACTGAGCATCTCATAGAATCAAAGGCAGAGGTAAATACCAATATTCAAGAAAGGTCAAGACGTAACTAGGCTTAAAGAAATTCTGGAAACAAGTCCATACTCACAGAACCAGACCTTCTTCTTCTTGCTTCTGTGCCTCCCCAAATGGTGGCTTCTTTCTTTTTTATCACTGCAGATTGACTTTCTCCAAATGATTAAAAGCATGACTGCCATTGATATCCTAGTTTTATATGTTACAGTTTTAACCTGACAGAACAAGACTGGCCCTGTTAGAGTGCCAAAATCTTAGGCTAGGTCTCGCTTGGATCAAATTAACTCAGGCAAAGAAGTAGAATACCATTTGGACCCATCTGGGTGAGGCACCCAGTCAACTCCTGCCTATAAGCAGCATCATATTGTACTAATGTGTTTAAAATGGGCCAGTCCTCAGCGGAAGTGCTGTTGACCTGACTATTCCATAGATGTCTACTATTGCATGGCTATACAGTAAAAACAATGCAAAGAGGTAGGTGGTCCTAGCTTTCATTTACCAGCAGAGACTGCCTGTGGTCTTTGAGAACTTGTTGTTAAAATTGTTCATTCCCGGTTTGGAAGCTCAGGATGGTGGTGTGGGAGGAGGGGAGCAATTGCACATGAAAGCAGCTGAGCAAAGAGAAGAGGAGGAGGACACATCAATGAAGCATCCTCAACACAAAGCAGAGGGCTCTGGACCTCCCAGCTTTTGTCATATTAAATCCGTATGCTTCTCCCAGCTGCCTCTTCTTCTCTCCTGCATCACACCTCTTTTTTTAAATATTTCCCCCATCACTTTTAAAATGAAGACCTTCTGTGTAGTTATAAGACTTTAGTCCTCTTCCAGAGAAGCAGTGCAAGACTTGATGCAAAGCTCTACAGTGTGGCAAATTCTGTCTCTTCAGAGAAGTGCTTGCCCATGTCTTCTTATTCTTTTCTCAGAATAACAGAATCTGAGGACTGAAATAGACTAGCCCTGAGGGCCGTCAAATGCATGGATTTGCTGTGTACCTCCCATCACTGGTATCCATGACAAGTGGCCATCAAGACTGTTTGATCACATACCGAAGGGGAACTCACCACTTTTTAGGAGAACCCATTCTATCTTTAGGCAGTTCTGACTATTAGACGTACTTCATTGTGTTAAGCTCCACCTGGGCCAAAAATGTGTATTTTCTTTTTTTTTTTTTTTTTTTTTTTTTTTGAGTTGGAGTTTTGCTCTT